ATATTTTTTCCCATAGACCACTTTAGAGACTTTTTTCTATATTCTTCATTATCTTCTAGAACTTTGATAGCTGCTACTTTTGCTTTTATGTTTTTCCTTCCTTCATATCTATCTTTACTAGGTGCCTATATATTTTCTTTGAGTGATATATTTATTGCATCTTCTATTACATCTTTTCCTTTTCCTATATTTCTTTTGCATAGGTATTCTGTTCTGTCTTCTTTTATTTTATTCTCTATTTCTATCATATCTTTGTTTGTTTGTTTCTTACTTGTTATATTTATTTGTTCTTTTTGTCTAGTCTCTAATTCTTCTATTCCTTCTGCTTCTTCTTAGCTATCTAGCTTATCTGCTATCTGCATCTCTTCTTCTGTTGTTTCTATTTCTGCTTTATCTATAATTTTAGTGATTTCTATTTGCATATTTTTTTCTTGTAACAAAATAATTTCTTACTTTCATTTTTCCTCTTATTAGTTGCAATACTTATATTTTCTTGTTTGATTACCTTTTTGATATTTTCTATTCCTTTATGTATTGCTGCTCTTTCTAATATACTTCTCCATTCTCTAGCTGCTATAACTATTTCGCTTTCTATATCTAAAATTTTAGCTATTATTTTATCAACATAGCTTTCAAATCCTTTTACTGAGTTACTACTTCTATCAAAGATTTCTCTTCCATATTCTTTAGTTATTTCTTTAACTATTCTTATTGAGCTATCTCTGTTCCATATCTTCTAAATTTAGCTTTTTGTTATAGTGACTTTGTCTTTTTCTGCAAATTCCCTATGAAATTTCCTATTTGCCTATGAAATTTCTAGTTTTGGTCTTGTATAGTTCTATTCTATTTTTGGTCATATATTACGTTCTATTAGTAATAGTTACATGTTTGTTTGTTTACTTATTTGTTTATGTGTTGTGTTATACAAATTGATCTGCAATTCAGGGTAACAACAATTCCTAATTTTTCTAAGAAAATTTTTCTGAATTTCTTTTGAAATTCTTTTATTCTTCTATTATTTTTTAAAAAATTATTATTTTCCTTTCTTCTTCTTGTATTATCTGTAACTTTTTGTCATCTTTCTTTTTAATTAGTAACTCTATTAGTATTTCTTAGTCTTGTTTTTGACTTTTTTCTGCTTTTTGTTCTGCTCTGGAAATGGTCAAATGATCTGCGGAGAGAGATACTACATGAAATTTGTATAGATCTTGTTTTATTAGATTAGTACTAAGTAGATATATTAGAAATTGTTAATCAAAGAGATATATACAAGATAGCAACTAGTATTTATAATTTTTAAAGATAGTGCTTGCTTTTAGGCTTGCCTTTAGATAGAACTACTTTAGGTTTTTTTTTCTTTTTTTTTTTTATATTAAAAAGAAAATTCTATTTCTTTTTTGTTTTTTTGTTTTGTTTTCTTCTCTATCTACTTATTGCTAGTATAGTTTTTTACTTGTTAGCAAGTTTTCTATACTATACTTATATTCTTATAGCATATAGCTTTATACTTTTTATTATCTGTAATAATTTTTTATTTTTTTCTATTTTGAGACTAGATATTAACAACTTTTAGTTTAGTCTTAGATTAGATTAGAAGAAATCTAAAATCTTGATAGTGACTAGAAGTCACCAATTGTTGAACAAAAGTTAAAATATATTATTCATATAGTAAACTACTTTTGGAAGATAAATAGCTTCTACAACAAATCGAACTTAAGCATGTTTAATATAGCTGAGTTAGTCTAAATGGGTTTGGGTCAAAATCCTGACAAACAGAATCCTAAAAGGTCAGAATCCCAACAAAAAAATTCTGACAAAAAATCCTGATAATAGAAAATCCCGACAATTAAAAATTTTGCAGTTGCGAACCTTGAAAATATCCAATCACTACTGTATATCAAAGATCACTTTAATACTAATAAATTAATAATCTATTAATACACATTTAATAAAAATCAGAACTGACATTTATTACAATGCCAAAATTGAATATAAGCATTTTTTAATTAAACTCTAAAGCTAACTCTAAAAGAAGAACCTTAATTTACTTTATTTGTTTGTTATAATAAGTAGCTTTCATTTTTTTTTTTTTTTCTATTTTTTTAATTCTTTTACCAACATTCTTTTGTAGGTTTATGCTTCTCCAGAAATGATTTAGACTTTCTTTTTGCTAGAATTAGTGATTTGAACTTACTTTCTTGTGTCAGTGCTTTGCTAGGAATGATGTTTCGAACTTTTTCTCCTTTATTGTATTTGTTCTTTGCCAGGTTTGGTGCTTCAGACTTTCTTGTATTTATTCTTCGCTAGGTTTGGTGCTTTAGACTTTCTTGTGTTTACTCTTCACTGAGTTTTGTGCTTTGGATATTCTCTTCTTTCTTGTGTTTGTTCTTCGCTAGGTTTGGTGCTTTGGACTTTCTTTCCTTTCTTGCATTTGTTTTTCGATGAGAATATTGATTTGGACTTTCTGTGGTGATAAGTAACTTACCTTGTTATTTTTCATTTTCTAACGTTTTGAACTAATATTTCTTTTTTTGTTGTAGATTCTTTGCTAGGAATGGTGCTTTGGACTTTTTCTCTTTTCTTGTATTTGTTCTTTGCTGAGTTAGGTACTTCAGATATTCTCTTCTTTCTTGTGTTTGTTCTTTGCCAGGTTAGGTACTTCGGACTTTCTTGTGTTTATTCTTCACTTGGTTTGGTGCTTTAGACTTTCTTGTATTTGTTCTTCATCAGAAATAGTGCATTAAACTTTCTTGTATTTGTTTTTCACTAGAAATAGAGCTTTGGACTTTTTCTCCTTTCTTGTATTTGTTCTTCGCTGAGTTTTGTACTTTGGACTTTCTTGTGTTTGTTCTTCGCTGGGAATAGAGCTTTGGACTTTTTCTTCTTTCTTGTGTTTGTTCTTTACCAGGTTTTATGCTTTAGACTTTCTTGTATTTGTTCTTTGTCGGGAATAGTGCTTTGAAATTAACTGTAGTGATAAGTAACTTTCTTTATTAATTTCCATTTTAATACTTTGAACTAATATTTTTTTTTTTTTTTTTGTAGGTTCTTCACCAGGTTTGGTGATTTGAACTTTCTTGTGTTTGTTCTTCACTAGGTTTGGTGTTTTGATCTTCTTGTGTTTATTCTTCACCAGGTTTGGTGCTTTGGACTTTCTTGTATTTGTTCTTCACCAGGAATAGAGCTTTGAACTTTCTCTCCTTTCTTGTGTTTGTTCTTCACTGAGTTTTGTGTTTTAGACTTTCTTGTGTTTGTTCTTCATTAGGAATGATGCTTTGGACTTGACTGTAGTAATAAGTAACTTTCTTTATTAATTTTATTTCAATGCTTTGAACTAATATTTTTTCCCATAGACCACTTTAGAGACTTTTTTCTATATTCTTCATTATCTTCTAGAACTTTGATAGCTGCTAC